CCCCCCGGTTGTCCCGGGGTGCTGTCAACCCCCAGTTGTCCCTGCCACCAGCCGCACTGTCACTCCCGCAGCAGTTCCTGTCACCCCGAGAGCACTGTCACCTCCATCCCAGTGTTCCCTGTTCCTCTGGTACTGTCATCCGTGTCAGTGACTGTAACCCCAGGCACTGCCACCCCCAAGCTGTGCCCACTGCCTCCTGGCATTGTCACCCCTGTTACTGTCCCCATCAACTCAGGCACTGTCACCGCTGTGGTTCTCCCTGTCCCCCTGGACATTGTCTCCTCAATCCCAGCACTCCCCATCACCTTGGACACTGTCACCCCCCTGTCTGTCCTCATCAGCCCCTCAAACCGTGACTCACGCTGTGACACTGTCACTTTCTGCCCTGTCCCACCGTCCTGTGTGTCACTATCCGTCCCTCCAGTGCCTGCCTGTCCCACCCCCAGCTGTGGTGACACCGCCCCGGTTGAGGAGGCAACACTGCAGGTGCCACCAGAGCAGATTTGCCTGAGGCTTTCAGCCCTCCCTTGGGGAACTGAGAATAACTGAGATGCGTGCCCTGGAATGGGGTGACTCCCAGGGGACCCCGCTCTGTGCCTCAGTGGTGACAAGTGAGCCACCAAGCTGTGTCACCGCTGTAACAGTCAGTGCTGGGGGGACACAAAAAACCCCAGAGCAGCCATCAGAGACTCCACATCGCTGTTTAATTTGAGGTGGGCACGGAGAGGGGACAGCGGGGCCTCAGGGCCCGTCCCTGTCCAGGCCGGGATTGTGCAGGATGTAGCGGCAGACCCCAGGCAGGCGCTGGTGGCCCAGCAGCTCCTGCAGCTGCTGCATGGGCCGGTTCCCCAGTGCCGTGTGCCCGAACGTGGGGAACCCGCGGGACTGTGCCCGCTGCGCCGCCACCGTCAGTGCCACCTGCATGTGGCCGCACCGCCGGTGCTCGGGCAGCGTGTAGCTGTGGGTGCCCGTCCCAAAATGATCCGTCAGCACCCAGGCAATGGGCTGCCCGCTGCTGTCCTGCAGGCAGACTTGCGGGAAGCGCCCCAAAATCTCAGCCAGGTAGCGCCGGCTGCGGGCATTCCCCCCGTAGGGCCATGTGTCGTTGAGCAGGTCCACGTGCGAGGGGCTCAGGGAGCCGATGCGCACCCCGGGGGCTGGCCTGGGCGAGGCAGGGCTCAGTGGGGGGCTCAGGAGTGTCCCCATGTGGGGGCAAGGGTGGGGGGCTCTCACCGGGGCTCAGGCATGGTACTGGGGTCAGGGTGCCAGTAGGAGTAGTACTCGACGATGTCCAGCTCCACACCCTTCTTCCCTGCCAGGTCCTGGGACACTGTGGCCAGCCCGTCCTGTAGCCCTGGGGATGGGGATGTCATGGTGTCCTGTTACCCCTGCACCCCACCATCCCTGTCCCCAGCCCCTCTATGTGACCCCAGTGGCCTCCTCAGTGTCCCCAGCCCCAAACCCTATTCCCAGCACCCAGATCCCTGCTTCCAGTGTGCCCAGTACCCCAATCCTGCTCCCAACATCCCCAAGTCCAACCCCAGGACCCCCCAGGACCCTGCTTCCAGGGTAGCCAGCAGTGCATTCCCTGATGCTCCCCAGCACCCCAAAATCCAACCAAGATGCTCCCCAGCACCCCTAAATCCTACCCCAATGCTTCCCATCAAATCCCACCCCAGCACACCAAATCAGGCCTCCAGTGCTCCTGAGCACCCAAACACCCATCCCCAGTGTCCCCCAGCAGCCCAAATTCCCTCCACCAGTACCTTCCATTTCCTCCAACAGCTCTCCCCAGTGTCCCACGCTCCCAGTGCTGCCCAGCACCTCTCATAGCATGTCCATCCCTCCCCAGGACCCACCC